AAGCAAGAAAACCTACACCTGCTCATTGACAACTGCAAAATCTGGGATTTAAGTTATTTAGAAGGCTCTGTGAAAGTGTATGTGCTTACATGATAAAGATAGAAGCAACTGGCCAAAGAGTAAGGGGGTAAATATGTCACCTGCAATCAACAGGAAGTCAGTTTTTAGAATGAGAAATGAGCCTAGGAAAAGGGGAAGAGTGGAGGGAAGTTGTTACATGTTTTTGGTTTGTTTCTCACCCTCCAACTCTTCTTTAATTGACAAAAAAAATTGAACTAATTTTCCATAAGTTGAGTCAGTTTTGCCAATGACACAATAATTTTCCTGTCTCTATCTCAACTCATTCCTATCCTATTTTCTTCTCATGTTCTGGTGAGTAGGAGCATTGAAAGGTTCACTGACTACATTGTCACAGCTTTTTGGAAAGTGTATTATGGGCCAATTTGCATTACATGACTATTTAGGAGATGGCTATTTCAGCAAATGACATTTATTTTTTTCACCTGGCTACATCACTGTTCTGGCTGTATGCAAGTGCCTGACTTTCTTCTTCCACCATCTGAGACTTTTGAACATTTCTTAAATGACATCCATGTGATTGATACCTAAATGAGAAGAATCATTGACTCAAAAGCTAGATTTAATAAAATGACAATTTTGTTCAGTTGCCATATTGGATTCAAATTTTTCATTTATAAAGTCAGAAGGAAAGCCACCAATTTATGTGATGAGGACTTAATTTAACATTTCATCTATAAAACTGCAGTACATAAAGTTAGCTACATAAATCATTAGTGCTCGAAATCTGCTGAAAAATGGTCAGCACTTTAAAAGATCTGCATCATCTACTCCAATCCACTGTAATACCAAATTGGATGGAATATAAATTTTTCCTCTGTGCAAACAGAATGAAGTCTGACAGTATTTATTCTTAAGGTGTAGTCTGTTCCCAATAGCATGTATTAAGGAAGTAATTAAGGAAATGTCTCAGAGTGCTAGGTTGCCAGAATAAGGCAAAAAAGGTATAAAACCAATAGCTCTTGAAAGAAGATTGTTGCACTGTTAAATCAGAAGGAAGCCAGATCCCATTAAATGACAATATTTCTTCATCCCAAACAGTGGAAGATACAGTGGAAGAAAGAAGAAAAAATAAATTAGGAAATTCTAGCAAATAGCAAAGTAGTCGAAAATCTTTGAGAATACTTTCCTAATGAAGAAATCTTGCATATGCAGACTATTCCTACATATTGGCATTCTATTGCTATATGATATAATTTACATTATGTGATGAGGACTTAATTTGCATTAATTGATCTATTCTCCCTTGCCAAAAAAAAGACACATTCTTAGTTTTTATTCAAAAATTTCCAATGACATAAATACTCAGTTGGATTTTCTCTCATTCACCTCAATGTTTGCATTTGTCTTTCAAACATCAATTAATCTAAGGAAAGAGACACTTCTACTCAAATACTGAATGTTCTTTAATACACAAGGCATCATTTAATTATTTATTTTATTTCTTAACTTCAGGGTACTGTACTGACTGCTGATCATAGTACTGGTTGCCTCCTCCAAAGAACTCACACAGATTTGTGTGTCACGACTTCCCTTTACTAAGTCTAAGCTGACTCTTAAACAATATCACTCAGTCTTATTATCCTATTTTCTATTATTCCATTTTCAAGGTCTCAGCTGGCACTGTAAGGATCTCTGATTTCCTTCCATAAGTTTCTCCACAGTGTCCCACTGTCAGCTAACTGCATTACTTTAGATCTGCTTTCAGAGAGGTGCTCATTCTAAAAATGAAGTTTACCTGTACAGCTTTTCTGATAAGACTGCTTCAAGCAGACTGCTTCTCTTCTATCAGCTCACAGACATTTGTCTTCCGAACAACTAAAAGTGGTGCATTACAGTTTCACTATTTGCCAGTCCCTCCCATCAGGAGCCATCAATAGGCAGTACAGCAGCCTGGGCCATCAGTGAGTGCACCATGCACCTCCTCCATCCCATGGCTCTGGCTGGTCACGTGAATATGAATGCTAATGAGCATGCACAGCAGTGTGCATGGCAGCTGAGTCAGGATATGGTTTGGCCAAGATGGAGCACAGAGAGTAAGAGCGGAACAAAAGGGCCAAGGAAGTGCTGTTTTTCACTGCAGTTTGTTCCTTTGTAACAGTGGCAGCTCTGGGTCTTTGCTGGGCTCCTTGTTCTGTTCTTTGGGCCACTCTGGTGGCTCAGGAAAAAGAACTATGAGACAGAGGGCAGCAGCAAGCCGGGCAGCTTCACAAGCAAGGAAGGAGAATGACAAGGTAGAAGACTGATTCTGATGATGCATGAGATCTGGGCAGTTTTGGCTAATTATCTCTAGTGGCCAGTGTCATATGTCGCTGACAAGTATGAGGTGATGGAGGAGATGGTGAAATACTATTTTGGGTCCTGCTGAGAAACACCTCCAAGCCACTGTTGCAGCTCTACAAAAGCTGAAGTGCCCATGAAGATAATCCCTTCTACCTTCTACTCATGCCCCTAAAGCTTCCCCCTGAGACACACCTTCCTGAGCATGGAGTAGGCTGCAACCAGCTCTACCAGCAGCACAGTGCAACCAGAAAAGAACACTGTGGCAGAGATGCCATTTGTTGGGCATGTGGCTAGGCATGTCTGGCCTCCCAGCTCCCACCTCAGCTCTGTGCAGACTTGCACCTGTCTGCTGGTGGGCACAGTGACTGCACAAACCCTTGGAAAGACTCCGTTCATTCCGGGAGCTTCAGCCTGTGTACAGATGCCAGTAAATTGCTTGTGTGAGCAATCTCATTGTCTGCCCAGCACTTTGTTGATGAGGAGAGGAGAAATATCACCTGCTGGCGACTTTTGTCCTAACAGACCTGAGTTCTTTATAGCAAGGACACGGTGCTAGTTTGTGTTTGACGTGCTTTACACCAGGAGCCTCAGTTCTTATTTTCAAAGCTGCTTTGCACTGCTCTCCCCTCATCCATTGTGTTTTTCATTTTATTATAGAAGCTTATCAAGTTGGTGGAGCATGGTAGAAATCTTCTGCAGCATGAAAAAGTAGAGAGGGATAGGAACAAGATAGACTCAAACTTAGGTAGAGAAAAGTGAAGAATAAATCCCAAAATGAGTAGAAAAAAACAGCTATGGGAAGGTAGGAGACAAAGAAAAAGAAAAGGAAAGTATTAAGTGTTTAAAATAACTTATTAAGAGAATTTTCCAAGCAAAATTTTAGTTAGCTTTGACATTCAAAAAATCCACTCCAAAAATCTAAAATATTTCAGAATTGGCTTTGGATTTCTCTGGATTTCTCTGCTGTATTAAAAATTGCCTGCTACATAAAAGGTGTTCATACAGTTGAAGTTGATGTTTAAGTAAAATATATAAAATATTTCCTAATGTCATTCATTTTGAATGAAAAACATTCAAGATAAAGTGAGGCAATGTGATTGTGAGAGCCATGAGAAGAAAGCATGTAAATGAGTAAAAGAAATTTAAAAATTCAGACCAATTTTTTTTCAGTCATCTTTCTGTTGTTTGTTTTTTCCTTCCTTTTTTATTGTAAACTAATTTCTATTTTTAATGGGTTTAGCTGGTAAATGTTCTACTGTGAAGAGCTGTGCTTCTTTTTATTGCAAGATAGTCTGAATATTTTGTATTCATAAATATGCATAAAGACATGTGCAATTAACAGAACTATTAGCATTGAATCTCTTTTATGCCTCTGTGAAGATTAGTGGAGAATCACATTGATTTTGTTTCATTATTAGTACAGTTGCATAATATTATGTCTATACTTCTCTTAGAATACTCATCAATACTCACTGCACATTCTACAGTTATATCAGTGTACTCTTCTGACAACTGTGACCTTTGAATTTATTTCAGAACAGAAGATATTAATTGACTCAAGCCACACCCTAGAAGCAATCTGGAATTGTTGCTTATCAGATTTCTCAGGCAGTAGATTTTCAAACTATCATTAATAGAGAAAAAGAAATCATGTGTGATGAATGTTCATAGAAAATTCTGCAGAAAACATAAGGATATTATAGCATTGGATTTGTTCTGCAACAAGTTCCTGCCTATCCTCATAGCACATATTGCACTGATATTTTCAAATTATGCTTTCAGTTTTCTTACAACATGCACATCAGTTTTGCATCAACCTAGATGTAGTTAAATCACTGATGAAGCTTCATGTTTGTTCTTAGTTCAGAAGAAAAATATGCTTATTTTCTGATTTGCATTCAAGATAAGTGCTTTTGCATGGGGCAATACAAAGACCTAAATGTAGTGCTTTTGTCAGTGTTGTTACAAGAACTTTGCAGTTCTAAAAGTTCCATTGAAAGATGTGGCAAAATGAGGGAAAAAATATTTATGTCTTTTTCTTCATCATTCTGATCAACACTTAGATCTATTCCATGTGCTCTTCCTAAAGCTACTACATCTGGAGTGAAAGAGAAAAAGCTACAATTGGAGTGGGCTGAAAAAGACTGAGCAGGAGTTTCAGACATCCTTCAGTTATCTTCAAAAGAAACATATGGACTCGTCAACTGCTACTTTGAATTAGGCAAGACAACTCCTCTTAGGAAGAAATAGTTTAGTGGAGGAATTATAAATAGATTAGAAAATCACAAAGTTTTTGTTTTTGTTTTTGTTTTAGTTTAGTTCAATAGAACTTCCTTTGTACATGTATTAAGCACTGCAGCTCTAATAAGCCAGGCTTTCACATCTCTGAGGGTTCCCAAGGCCTGGAATATTCATCTGAATTTATTAACAACTGTACAGCTCTGCTATCAGTGCTTTGATGGATGAATATTTTCCTTTATGTTTTTATTTGTCTTCACATTCTTTATACAGATGTTTTCCTATCTCGAGGTCACATGGTGTCATATTATATGTTGCAATTCAGTTATTCTAAGGTTGCTGTTGTTATCTCACTAGAGTGCACTGCCTTTTTCGTTATTTCCAAATGATGTGTAATACAGCAAGTTTCTGTTCAGACCCAAAATAATAACAAGGTCTGACAGTTTTTGCCAGGATTTTTCTGCCCAGCAACTGCATTCACATTGGAAAAATGGAGCAACTTAAGTAAATAAGGTAATGACAGTTTTTTCTCTTCTCCTAGCCAAAATATCAACTATGCTGATTAAATTAAGTGCATTGTTAAAAATAGAACACTTTAGGTATATTAAGAGGTGGCAGATGCTCAATACATTTCTAGAGGCAATTGTGCAGAATTTAGATTCAGTTGTTCTGGAGCTGGAAAGTCCCAGCACCGTCATTTTGAGGCTTTAGATATCAGCATTTTTAATACTAGTATTTTCTGGTGATTGCTGGTAGGGAACATGAACATTCTGAAGCTGACCTTTGTCAGAACTGTGAAGGAGAATTTATTTGGTTCACGTATCCCTAAGGTGGAAACCATCATTTTATAAAGTCCACCTAGTATAACATGAAGGCTTTCTGTTTTGACAAAAGCAACATAAGAGCTGCAGATGTGAATTACACCATCACTTGCTGTGGTCTTAATGGTGTAATTGAAAGACGAATCACTGCAGTCATCTTTCAAATCATAAAAAGCTGTTAATTTACACTTATTTTTATGAGACATCTTAAGTGTGAAAAAGCCCAGCAGTCATTTATCTGAAGTGCTTTCCAGCTTTGTTGTGTGCTACAGTCTTGATGATGACTCAGTGCTGTGCAGGTAATCTGAAGAGTTTGTTTTGCTATAGTTTCATGAAATAGCAACTAACTTAGTAATAAGTTTATTAATGACATGGTAGGGTACTACTTCAGTAAATGTAAGTCTGAGATTAATATTTCTCCTCATTTTTGTGAAGAAGTCAGAGTTAGCAACTAGCCTGTTGAAAATGAACGGATCATTATACTACTTATCACTGACATAATAACACTTCTGCAGTTTATGATTTATACAAGTAATCAAGTACAGCATCATACTGACCCAAGAAAGACAAGATGCACTCCTTTCCACTCCTTTCCACTGATGAAGTGACAGCAGAACTAACCTTTTGTGCCACAGGGTATTTAAAACTCTATCTTTTGACACTGGAGGAATTAGTCAGTCATGCATGAGTAACCCTGCTGTTACTGATGGGATTTTTATTACACAGTTGACCATAGCATAGTGTTATTAGTATCAAGTGGAGACATTTAAATGATCTGACATGGTGTGATTCTTCTCCAAGAAAATTCTGCAGTATCTGCTGTTATCCTCTGAACTTTCTCATCAGTTTCTTGAAGAGCAGGTGCCATTAGCATTTGTTTCCCACCCTTCATCTCATTAAGGCTTTTTGTTTCTCCTTTTTTTCATATTTGGGAGCACACTAACAATGGTGTCTTAGTGAATGCATTAGATAGTGAAGCAGGAATGATAAATTTCAACTTATCAGCACATTCTCTTACATTATATCAATATGCTCACAGAATGAAGAACAAGAAGAAACCTTATGAATAGTTAATTAAATCTAAGAAAGGTTTTCTCAGGGGAAATAAAAAAAAAGCAAAAAGCGCAGCAATCCTATGCCTAAGAAATTAATTATTTTAGGCAGGGATGAGAGGTAGTGAGAAAATCAAAAGCCAAAAATCCTTCTGCTTCTGCTTTGTCTTGCAACTAAATGCACAGACAAACTCTCTGGAAATTTTTGGAGATCCACTTACTTCAGTGACTGCTACTTTTACATTCAGTACTTGATCTATTGCATAGACAAAAGAAGCTGCACATGTAGCCTCCTGTATTTGGGTCATAGATATATATAGATATATATGTGTATATATATATATATGTGTATATATATTTGTATATATATATATACATACATATATATACATATATATATATACACACACACACATATATATATATGTATATATATATTGATCGTGTACTTCTTCAGTGAAAACTCAAGGAGTGAGAATGAGATCCATCAAAAGAAGGGGACTAAGATTTCCTAATTTAGCCATTCAAATAATTTCAGATCTTCTCTGAAGATAAAAAGTGGTACTTTAAAGTGTCATTTTTTAGGCCTTTAATTAGGATAAGGGGAAGGATGTTTAAAAACTGCTTATTTCTCAGTTGAGTATAAGGAAAATCTGACATAACTAGCTTAGATGTAGGTGTTGTGCTGTAAATATCTCAAACTTTCTTTTTAAAGAAAAACACAAATTTCTCCTGGGATTATCTTCATTTACTTCTAAACTGAAAATTAGTTCATTTACTTCTAAATTAGTCTTTGTATTAGATTGGCCAATACACTTCTGGAAATTCTCTTGTCTTCACTGGAGCTGCAATAATTTATACAATTTATGCAACCCAGTAAGAACAGCCTTCATCTGTAAGTACTTCTACGACCTTAGGACGAATTGCTCTGAAAATATATAATATGAACATGAATAACAGGACTAGATCATACTTAAGAAAGTTGTTTCCTTACATTCTTCATTTATGTGCACTTAATTGTATAGATATGTATTACTTTCATTTTGCCATTGTCATTGTGAATATCCATTCTAGTCAAAAGTTAAAGAAGATACAAATTTTAATAGATTTATTGTTTGGAATTCTTTTTCTCCTCTGTGTTTCAATTATCATTATACTTAAAGTTCTTTTTAAATATTGAGAAGATAATTATTGATATATTATTGTACCACTGTATTATTACTTTGATTAAGAAAAGAATAATCGGAACAGCAAAGAGTATAACAACTAGAAGCCAGAATTTAACTACTAAATAATGAATGCCAACTCTTAATTTATAGTTACGAGCTAAACTCTCCCATTCCACATATCAATATTTCATATATATTTTGAAGAAATTTAAGGAAACACTGAATGTGCATAAAATATACAGATAGCTAGTAATATCAAAGGGAAGAATTTCACGTATACATAAATCAATTTTAGCAATGTGTATATGAGGCAAAGGGAACATTTTTGATATTTTGAACGAGTAATGTGTTTAGTTGCTGCCTTGGGAATAATTTAATTTTTAAAATGTAAAGAGCTTTTCCACAGCACTGCAGAAGCAATAAAATAATTAATATTTCCAGCCTCTCAGCTTCACACATAAGTTTAGGATATGCTACACTCTAAGGAGTATATTCTGTTGAAGTACATTATTGAGTTCAAAATGGCTTTTTCCAGGTATTCCACCAACATTTACATTTTCTAAAGACATGCAAAACAGATGTTTGTTTAGCTGGATTTCATTATTTGTGTGAAATGTTTAGGGGTTTTGGGGAAGGTCATGCTTAACCAATCTGGTGACCTTCTATGATGGAGTGATGACATTGTTGGACTGATGTCGTTTACCTGGACTTGAGCAAGGCCTTTGACATGGTCCCCCACCACATCCTTATCTCCAAATAGGAGGGATGTGGATTTGATGGGTGGACCGCTCGATGGATAAGAAACTGGTTGAAAGGCCGCAGACAGAGGGTGGTCATCAATGGTTCTATGTCCAGATGGAGGCCGGTAATGGGCGGCGTCCCCCAGGGGTCTGTCTTGGGACCGGTGCTCTTAGACATCTTTATCAGTGACATCGATGACAAAATCGAGTGCACCCTCAGCAAGTTTGCTGACAGTGACAGTGCGGTTGACATGGTGGAAGGAAGGGATGCCATTCCCCAGAGGGACCTCAACAGGCCTGAAAGGTGGGCCCAGGTGAACTTGATGAGGTTCAACACAGAAAAGTGCAAAGTTTTGCACTTGGGCCGGAGGAATCCCAGATATCCCAGTCACAGACTGGAAAGAGCAGCCCTGCAGAGAAGAGCCTGGGGTTCCTGATGGATGAAAAGCTTAACATGAGCCAGCAGTGTGCCCTTTCAGCTTGGAAAGCAAATTGTATCCTGGGCTCCGTCAGAAAAGGGGTGGCCAGCAGGGACAGAGAGGTGATTGTCCCTCTCTACTCTGCCCTATCGAGACCCCATCTGGAGTACTGTGTCCAGGTCTGGAGCCCCCAACACAAGAAAAACAGAGAGCTGTTGGAGAGGATCCAGAGGAGGGCCACAAAGATGATCAGGGGAGACTGGAGAACCTTCCCTAAGAAGACAGGCTGAGGGAACTGGGCTTGTTCAGCCTGGAGAAAAGAAGGCTGTGGGGTGACCTCATTGCAGCCTTTCAGTATCTTAAGGGAGCCTACAAACAGGAGGGGAATCAACTCTTTGAAAGGGTTATTAACTGCAGGATAAAGGGAAATGATTTTAAGTTGAGAGAGAGAAGTTTAGGTTGGATGTCAGGGGGAAATTCTTTACAGAGAGAGTGGTGAGGTGCTGGAACAGCTGTCCAGAGAGGTTGTGGATGCCCCGTCCCTGGAGGTGTTCAAGGCCAGATTGGATGGGGCCCTGGGCAGCCTGGTCTAATATTAAATGGGGTGGTTGGTGGCCCTTTGGCAAGGGGGTTGGAGCTTGATGATCCTTGAGGTCCCTTCCAACCCTGGCCATTCTCTGATTCTGTTTTCAAAAAAGTGGAGTCCAAGGGGAATGTCAGGTACAGTGATGCGTTACTTCATAGAGACACAAAAAACAGCAGAAATAACAACACAAGACCTCACTGCATCTAAGTAGCATGTACTGAGAAAAACTGGATCAGGAAAGGAAAAATGAGCAATAGCCATTGTTAGACCTTCCCTTCAAACAGATTAGGATGACCAACCTCACAACAGTCTTTGAAACATTTCACATTTTATTGCTTAAGCACTTACTCAACTAGTAGCCCCACTGATTACAGTGTAGATAAAAGACCATTTCATTAAAAGTAAATGGCAGAATACAACTTCCAAACTAATTATGCCTGTTAATTTCAAAGTCTGAATATTATATTTCAAACCATAATTGTGGCTACAGTGGCTGTGAATTTTGAGATATTTGCATTAATTGCAAGCAATAATTTAAATTGTGTTACATATTTTTGTTTATATATTCAGAATGAGATATATAGTAAATTGCTTCAGTTTCTATTAAAAAAGTCTCTAGTTTGTGTAAAAAGGAGCACTTGTACAACAAAATTTTTCTGTACTATTGCCTCAACAAACATCAAATAAGAAAACAAATAATAATAAAAAAGAATTCTGTACCAAATG